GAGGACTTTCATATACATTATTCACGCACATATATACTACACATGATTACTATTATTGACGACTTACAAAAAGAGTGATTTTAAAGTTAGAGATTTATCATGGGTTAGAAGGACATTCCAAAAGGGATACTTGAATGATAGCTCAGCGGAATCACACAACAAGCAATTTAAACTCAAACTCATACCTCTGCAATTCAGTACCTATCCTCTGTCTTCAACAGACCTTCCACTAGCATCTATAAAATTATAGACGGATGCCTCAAAATCCCACCAGAATGCTACACCAATCTAAACCAAGGAACCCTATGAACCTGGCTGGAATGTCATCAATTGACAATTAGTAGCTTTTATTGATTGAGGAGCCCCCTGACTGCCCCAATACAAAACTTTATCTGCTCCCTCAGACAAAGTCAATCTTTTAATCTCAGCCACCATACCAGAATATCTCCTTCCAAAACTAGTTGGTACCTGCCATCCAGATGGTCCCCACCCGGAACTTTTGTTTCATGCCCACGGTGATCTCAGCCATATTTTATAGCCTATAACGAATTCCATCTCCTGATAGCCAACAATCATAAAAAAGGGAGGTTTATCTACCATCCCCAACTTCAATACTAACACGATCTCTCATCACCTTTTCAACCAAAGGATCTTTCTTAAAGACCCTGCACAATCCTGTAAACACATATTAATTTTATTTCATTTCATTTTGATATTTCTAATCATGAAACTGGACTTCTATATTATCAAGTTTTGATATATATGCCTATCTGTTGCTAAAATCATCCGTTTCTCTCTTTATATGTGCAGGTGTTAGCCTAGCGTTTGGACTAGTATGTTTACCTATTGGTACGAGGCAGTCGTACAAACTTTTAAAGAAGAAAATGAAAAAGAAGCTTCAAAGGCAGTTCTTCAAACAAAATGGACGTTTATTATTGCAGCAACAACTGTCTTCAACTGAGGATAATATTGAAAAGAGCAAAATATTTAGTAAAGAGCAGTTGGAGAGAGCTACTAACAAATTCAACAGGAATAGAATACTAGGTCAGGGAGGCCAGGGCACTGTTTATGAAGGAATGTTGGTTAATGGAAGAATTGTTGCAGTTAAGAAGTGCAAAGAATTGGACAAAGAGAAAGTTAAAGAGTTCATCAATGAGGTGGTCATTCTCACACATTAATCACAAAAACATTGTTGAGTTATTAGAGTGTTGTTTGAAGACTGAAGTTCCTCTGCTAGTTTATGAATTCATCCCCAATGGAACACTTTTCCAGTATATACATGATCAACATGAGGCCTTCCCACTAACCTGGGAAAGACAAGTAACAATTACAGCAGAAGTTGCAAGTGCACTTTACTACTTGCACTCAGCAGCCTCCATTGCCATTTATCATAGAGATGTTAAGTCCTCAAATATTCTGATGGATGGAAAGTTGCAGACTTTGGGACATCAAGATCAATTGCCATTGATCAAACTCATTTGACCACAAATGTGAAGGGCAAATTTGAGTACCTAGACCCCAAATATTTCCAGTCAAGTCAATTTACAGAAAAAAAGTGATGTTTACAGCTTTGGAGTCATCCTTGTTGAGCTCTTAACTGAAGAAAAACCAATTTCTTTAGCAGGAGCAGAGGAAGAGGAAACAAGAAGTTTGGCCTCTCATTTCATCTTTCCATGGATGAGAATAGTTTCTTTAATATTCTTGATGCTCAATTAAGGCAGACTTCTGCACATGAAGAGATAACAAAGGTTGCTAAACTTGCATATTGATGCTTGAGCTTGAGTGGTAGAAAGTGGCCAAAGATGATAGAAGTTGCTGCGGAGTTGGAACAGATTCATCTTTCACAATAACTATATAAATGGTCAACAAAATCATGAAGAGGTTAGGTATGTCCAAATTGTAGTAACCAATCTTTGGGGTGGTGCCTCGACTTCAACAGGTTCAGGCTTGGACTCTGGAGTTGCTTTGTCGTTAGACATGGAGTCATGAATGTCCAGTGAATCATGGGGACTTAACTGACTTATCCTAAAATGCATTTATTCCATGTAGGGGAGTGTAATAAGTTCTATTCTTTTTTGTCTCTGAAAATTTTTAGTTCATTTAATTTTTATTTTTGTCACTTTGTAGTTCAAAGTTCAAATAAAGTTTGCACAACTTGGTTACAATAGTTTGATATAATGACAGGCTAAAGTATAATTGAACCATTTCCTTTTCACATTAAAATTCATTTTTGTCTTACAAAAACTTGACAGGGTTAAATCAAGTCCCAACACATGATAAATGATACATATCCCTTAGATTTGGTGCTATATGAGCATGAATTATTTAATCATATTCCTAAAAAGCTAGCACAAAGTCATTTCCTAATTCCAGTTCAACCATCCTGAAATTTTCACCACTCAAGACAAATTTATCTTAGCAGCAAATTTGCAGTCAGTGAAGCATTGAGCATATTTCCTGGCTTGGTTCTTCTTTTGAAAGTATGAGTACAAATTTTTTAAAGGAAAAAATAGTTATTCACGCCTTCAGCATTAACAAACAATCATCAGGCTAGCATGAAATACCCTTAACTTCCGTATAGCTAAAAGACCATATTGTAAGATAACAAGGTAATTATTGCACTGAAAACCCAGGTAATAAGACTTACCTGTGTGCGGAAGTGCCAAAGTAGACAGTTATTCCCTTGAAATATCCTTCCAAGTAGTTTTCTTCTATCTACACGCTCGAAATAAGCATCATAAGACAAGAAGAGACCTATCTTCTGCCATGCATGATATTGAGAAACAACATGACATACCTCAAGCATCAAAGGAGGAGAAGACAACCATGAAAGCTCCTCAACTTGGTTTAGGTTCACGTTCTGAGGTAAAAACATAATGACATTAGGCGTTATCCTCTGAGCAGCTTGAAATATTGAGTATCTACAGGATATCTTGCAATCAGACATACAACAGAGTGACTCAAAATTCAAAATGAAATGGGCATGTTACAAGCATCAACTAAATAACAAGCATAACATAAACAAAGATACATCACAAATGGTTTATCCTACTCGATTCCAATCCAAGTGATATTTTAGTCTGCCAAAGAGACTCAGCATGAAATATTATACATATATACATCTTTGCTTATGTTTAATGATTACTTTAAATTTTAAGAAACAAAAAATCATAACTCATCAATAACAAAACCAAGAAGTCGTTTGGCTTAGCTTATTTCTATGTTATGAAAATCATAAGGTTTTGAAAACTTAAAAGAGGAAGTTCAAAATTATTTAAGCTTGGATGAACAAATTGTGGTTAAAAATTTTAACTAAGCATAATTTAACTGGATATCAGTCATTCAGAATCTAATAGTAATGTTTACAAGATTATTGAGTCTGCAAATTTTGAAATCACTTGATGCCTTCTCTTTAAACCATTGCATTAAAAAATGAGAACATGCAGGCAGCAGGAAATAAATGTTAAACAAGTCTCTCAAATTTGAACAGAACAGAAAAAAACCCAGAAACAATCACACAAATGCACACATACCCATCTTTTGGCTTCAGTAAATCCATGGTGAAACTCTGGATTGTTTTATATGATGGACCCCCCCAAGGTGGTGAAACAAATACGACATCCCCCTAAAAACAGAAAAGAAAGTTGAATTAGGATTGGAACTACTTAAGATCAGTTAGAAAGTCCTAGTCACCCTACATATTAAAATTCTGCAAGGAAAAAGAAAATATAACCCAATCCCTATGGTAAAAAGGAATTTTTAAAAAAAATCAAAATGCTACTCAAATACTTTAATTTAAGTATTGCAGATGCAAAACTTCTTAAGTTTCATCTCGTCTAAACTCTGTAAAGCTTATTATTGGGAATGTGTCAATAAACATCAATTAACAAAAAAAGCAAACCACTTAATTAGTTAAGTTCAACCCTAACATAAACATTATCCAAAATTGGCAGCAATAATGAAAACAGAAGAAAGTACCTTCAAGTAAGGAGCAAGTTAGAAAAAGTCTCCCATAATAAAATCAATATAATCTTCCACTCCATATATACTTGCATTATTGAAAGCCATTACAACTTTTCGAGGGTCAATGTCTATAGCAACACCAAATTGGCACCTAAAAATTTAAAACTACATGTTAGGAGACTCCTATATGGTGAAGGAGTATAGAGTTGATATGTATAGAATAAAATTATAATATGAGTTCAAGCAAATTTACAACTACAAGTCAGTCATCAAGATAAACAAAATTCAAAAATACTTGTGCATGATATAAAGAGTTTCAGATGTTCAATTGGAAGGCTACCTGGATGATAAAACCATGGTGCCTTCTTATTGTACTGAAACAAAAATGTTCAATTGGAAACTCTCATGAGAATATCGTCAAACCATCCTAATAAACATCTCTCTCCCATCTTGTAGTATAAGAAATTTACTCTAGTATCTGAAATGGACTAACAAGTTAGTTCAATCCAAGCAACTA